ATGACAAATAAAATGCTTTTAATAGGAAATTAAATTAATAAAATAACAAAATAATTTCATTGATAATTCTCTGTTTTTTTTTTAATACTATAAGCGATAAATAGCCGCAGTCAGATAACTTCATTATCGAAACAGAAAATCGCTGCTTACTCTGAGGACGTTGATTACATTTATATTAACTATTTTTTAATTTAGTAAAAATAGAAGTTTGCAAAAATTTGAAAAAACTATCTTTTTGACACATTTTGTATAGATATAGATGTTTCTCACGAACAGTTATTATTTCTGTAGTCGTGTAATAATAATCATTAATTTTAATTCAGATTCTCTTTGAACAATTCAGGATTTGTCTTTCTTTGACAAAAATGTAAAAAAAAAAAACATTATTTGTCAACTTTTGACATTATGTATATTTCTGCAATTAAGGCTTGCATTAAAATTGTCTGTTAAAGTATGCTCTAATATAATTAATCGGACAATTCCACCATCTATTTGTCTCTATCAAAATAGTTTCCACAAACCTTTTTAATAACTTATAACGATAGAGTGTAATAAAAGTTATAAGTTAACTCGAAAATTGACATTTTCCTAGAAAAAAAAGTTTAGCTTAAAATTTATTGAAAAATTTGTCAAATAAAAGATTGTAAGATACACTGATAGGTAATACAATAATATTTTAGTAGTAAAGTATATTTTCGTTTTTGTGTGAGTTATATCTATTATTCCGCAAAGTTCAGTCTCCCAATTGTGTATTCCTAAATAATTTTATCCAAATAAATGAATCGATTATTTATTTTTACGATATAAAGGATAGAGAATAATGAGTTAAATGAGTAGCGGATATTAAAATTCATCGATCTTGCGCCGATCGCAAAAAATGGAAATGACGAATTTAGAACGTCATTCGTCGGATGCTGAGAAGATGTATTATGTATGTGAGACAGGCAGGTTATCGGGACTACGACGGGCGATCTCACAAGTGTCTATGATGGTCGTCAAAGCGACGACTTCCGGCGAAGCGGCATGGCGCGAAGAATTGCTCAAGTAATCATTCTCAATAAGCCTCTCTTTTCTTCTTGTCTTTCTTCTCTGTTTCGTACATACCGCGAATCACACATTTAGGTCACATTAACTGTATATATTTATACATGTAAAATGTTTCGATGCTATTTTACTTAAAAATTCTCTTAATTCTTCTAATTTGAAATCGGTTTCTTCTCAACAACGTGCTTTTGGTTAATCATTGCATATAAAATGTTGTTCAAAAGTTCCATTTCACTTTTATAAAGAACACTTTCATAAAGTAAATATTTCCGGACAATTTAAAATATTACAATGATACAATGATTACAATATTACATGACAATGATAATCTTTTCATACAAATAATGTGGAAAAAGAACATTTTATATGCCGCATGATTCCCAATATTCTTTCATTTTTAGCCGAACAAGCGTGGAATTTATAAACGGCGAATATTTCATTAAGATTGTATGCGAGAAGTATTTCTTGTTTCGAAATAATCGCCCACGTTTCATCGAGACGAGAAAGTGTTCACGATTATGGCAATTTACGACAAGCTTATAGTAGCATAAGCGTAGAAGAGACACTCCGTTGGAAGATCGTGACAAGCGAGTTTCTAATTGCAAATTTTTTTTATGAGAATTTATTTCTTATTATTTTTTTTTTATTATCAGACGTGTAGGTATGTAAGCACTCATCCACATCACTCACGCATTCGTATATATGCGTAAATTTTTTATGTATACAATGTTAATTATTACATATATTTTTACAATAATTTATTTAATATTAATTATATGTTCTTTCTTCTTGTCTCTTTTTTATTAGAAATAAAACATAAAATAAACACGAATTACATCTTTTCCAATTTTTCTCACGTGTCATAATATATATTACACATATGTATGTATACTACATATGTATATTACATGTATGTATATTCAGGTCGATATAAAATCGGAAGAGATTAATTTCACGATTATATAATTTTAAAATAAGATCTTGAATGAATCAGTTATCATTTAGTTTCAAATGAAATAATCATTGGTCTGGTCAATGGCGTTCTAAATTCGCGTGATTTCGCGCAACTTTCAACCCTGACATATTGACCTGTGAACGCAAATAGATCGACGGCGGCTTTTGGCATCGCGAATATTTACGAACGTCATACATACTTTGAAGTTTGTTTGCATTTTTACAAACATAATACTTATGGAGAACGGTTGCTCCGAAGAACTTATTCTAGTTTATATATTATAATCTTTTTTTTTATATTTCTTATTAACTTACTTAAATTGAAAGATTATTTAAATTTTTTAAAGCTAATAAGCTATCTCTAGCTATGTTAAATAGTAATAAATACAGATTTCTGAGTGCTCAAAGAGATGGAACTCGATGAGTATCCATTGCTCAGACTTTGAATACTTAAAGTCTTTGATCTACAGATCTCCACAAAAACGACGAGATTATATAATAACACGTGTAAACCGTTGATGTTTCACTGACTAAAATTATATTCTAGAATTGTTAACAATTATTTTTGACACAATTTACAATTAATCTGTTTATTTACAGCCCAAATTTGCACGAATGGAAGATTAAAAGCGGTTTATAAATTAATTTAATTCATTTTTCTTTTAAGGTATCGCCAAACCAAATTTAGCACCAGAAGAGTTCGCAAAAGAGTTGTTTTTAAACATGGTGACTGTAATGTCGTTCAAGGAAATGTCGCCAAACGACGTCGGCGATATCTTCAGGTAAATATTTTTTGCATAAAAGATATTAATAAAAGAAAATACAAATTCAAGCTTTAATTTGTAATATAAAACATATTATAATTTTTATTGTTTCAAAGCATATTATAATTTTCTTAAATTTGTTATCTATTAACTTATATTTGAAATAAGTAAATTTTTAGTATAACTGATTATTTCAATTAATCACGGTTAATCAATAATTAATTGGCCAATTATTGAAAAAACACAATAATTGCAATTAACCAAAACCGATAATATCAAAATGGCCCATTATTTTAAATATATTATATTAATAAGATGTAACAAATCAAAGAAATTAAAAATTTCTTATTTATTTTCCATTTTTATTGTTTTTAATAACTATCATATACATTCTCTAATTTCATAGATATACGCTATTTTGTTGTATTTATCATAACAAGAATTCTACAGTTAACTAATTCATTTGCAGGACATTTTCACAACATTGGTTGATGCACAATGGCGATGGACGCTCTTGGTGTTCTCTATGAACTTTTTGTTATCTTGGCTAGGGTTCGCGCTTATATGGTGGCTGATCGCGTATAGCCATGGCGATCTTGACCCTCAGAATTATAATAATCAGACTTTCACCCCCTGCGTCGTGGATATACGTAACTTCGCGAGCTGCTTCCTGTTCTCCGTCGAAACGCAACACACAATCGGGTAAATAATTACTTTTACATCATCATATATCTTAATATCATTATAATAATTTGTTATGTTATTGCATTAGTGTGATTACTATATCATTATAACTTATAGATATCACTATTATATTATCTTTCTTTTCTCTTTTGTTTTCTCTTCTTCGTCACAATCATTACAATTTCAATCTCTTTCTTCTTGTCTTCTCGTTTTTTTCAATCTTTTCGTTTCTTATAATGTAATAATTCGTAATTATGTCAGCGCATTATTTTTTATTAAGATATAAATGATGTAGATATGGGGCGAAGCATACGACGGACGAATGCCCAGAGGCAATTTTCACATTATGTATTCAATCGATGACTGGAGTGATCCTGCAAGCGTTCATGGTTGGCATCGTCTTCGCCAAACTGTCACGTCCTAAAAAGCGCACGCAGACCCTACTCTTTTCGCGTAATGCTGTCATTTGCCAACGAGACGGTCAGCTCTGCCTTATGTTTCGCGTCGGTGATATGCGCAAGAGCCATATCATCGAGGCTCACGTGCGTGCTCAGATGATCAAAAGAAAGGTAATTGTATATCTCTATTGTGTATAAAGAAGAAATAAATGGCATGTTTGATTGCAGTTATTTGTATACATTTCAGGTTACTAAGGAAGGTGAATTGCTGCCATTTTTCCAGACGGAACTAAAAGTGGGAGACGATGGAGAGGAGGATAAGATTTTCTTCATCTGGCCTACAACGATCGTTCATAAAATCGACCGGTACTCGCCACTGTACAAGGTATCGGCCAGCGATATGTTGCGAGAACGATTCGAAATTGTCGTGATATTAGAAGGCAAGGATGTTGTCATGTCTTGTTGACAGTTTGGAACGAAATTTGAAATTCTTAGCTTAATATAATAACAATAATAATTGTTATTAATTACTGATAGGAGTAATTGAATCCACCGGCATGACAACGCAAGCGAGAAGCTCGTACTTGCCGTCGGAGATTTTATGGGGTCACCGATTCCAGCCGATCATTACCTTCCGCAAGGAGACTGGTGAATATGAAGTAAATTATTCTCTTTTCAACAACACTTACGAGGTGGATACCCCACTTTGCTCTGCCGCTGACCTCGATCGCATTCGGGCGATGCATCGCTCAAAAACTGGTAAAAATTTATTATTTTTCATATATTAATAAATTATACTTATAGTTTATCCTTCTTTTATCTTTACTTTTATTTTTAATATTTTTTACTTTTTCTCTACGTCTTGTATTATATATGTTTCTACATGCATATATTTTATGTTACCTTTTTTCATGATATTTTTTTTTAAATATTGCGAATTAATCTTGTTAATTACTAGTTATCATTAATTGACAATTTATTTTGTAGAACGTCTTAGCTCAAATACATTTCCGGAATATCGCGAAACTTATAGTAGCAGTTCCTTAACGATGTCTTCTGCGTCAAGTCTGAGATCTTCAACTGGCGAGTTACATATGCAAATGCCAATGATGATGTCAACGACTCCTCTAAATCCGATACCGGTGATAATCACTAGATCAGAAGATTCTGTCAGACAAGATAGCATCAATATGCATCCTGACATATCACTGTCGTCTTCTTCGGTACAAAATGAGGTGATGATCAGTTAAAATTATGTAAATAGATGATATGTGCAGGATGTTTTACTATTCCACCAGTTATATGCCATTTTGTAATAAATTATTAGCGAAGAGATTTCTTTCCAATGTTTTAAGAATCAAGGTCTCTTTTATGAGACAAATAGATACTGCTACCAAGTTAGCTTATTGTGCAGACAGATGATAATTAGTATTACTATAAATCTCTTATCTTTGCAAATATACTATTATAATAATAACATTGTAACAATACAAGTTATATATAAATGATATTTTTTCAATATTTAGGTGACAACGGAGGAACATCATGATATCAAGACTTCAAAAGATCAAGAGGATTACGATCGTGCTTTGGAGAATATTAATGCATCCTTAAAGAAAAGCAGGAATGAGAAGGAAGATAGAAATGGATTAAAGACAAAGTTATATTTGAGAAGAAACGAAGAAGTGAGATCGAAATCTAAATCTGTTGTAAAGGAAGGTCAAGAAAGCGATTTAAAGAGCTCACCTTGCAGAAGTAATTCAGATATTAGGTAGGCGAAAAATTGTATATATTCAATTTTGTGTATGTGTATGTGTATACTGTGTATATTGTATAATATGTATCTATACATGTATATGCCAAAAAATATTTTCTTGGAATATTTTGTGTTATTCATTTAATTAAAACATTTTGCTAATGGACGATTATTGAATTTAATCGTTCCAACGGACGATTTAATTCAATTTAAATTTTCTAAAACAGACAGAGGAATACTGCAAATTCTTCAGAGTATCCCGTTATGCCTAGAAAGTCCAGTGTGTCCAGCGATGATCACAAGATCAAGGACATTTCCGAGAAGACAAATTTTATTATCAACGAGGAAGCATTAATAACTGATCCTAATAATTCCCAAAATATATCTTTAACCGAGCAAACATAGGTAAGTGTTACAAGAATTAAGCTCTGCTCATAACACATGAAATCTACATACGCACTGTATACACAGATGGTGTATAATTATACGTATATATGTAGAAATAAATTAAAGAATGAATGTATTCTAGACAAATATTAAAATACAATTATACATAGTTAAATACGTATAAAATAAATGAATATACAAATATACATATAAATGTATATAAAATGAAACATTTAATATGACAATCGCAAATATTTAGAAAAATGCATTGTGCAATGTGTGTGAAAGAGACAAACAAGCGACTCCTCCTCATTCCTAGTGATTAATAAAATCTTTGATATTTTTGTATACGTCACTATTAATGAAGTAGATAATCATTGTACGAAAGTCATATATTTAATTATTCTGAACGGTAAGTTCTTCAAACAATATTGCTACATATATATTCGTAATATTCTTATACTTCTGTCCGTTTAGTTAGCACATCATTCCTTGCTATGATAGACCACCGATGGCCTCTGCTGGATTTTCTATTCAGTCGTTTGATATTTTAATTATAAACACAAGCATTATCATGAATGTCATTATTTAATATGTAATTATTATATGTATATAGAGTAATTATCATATCATGTATCGTCAGTGGCCTTCGCGGCGTAGCAACCGGTTTTCACTCACTATGTCACATACAGTCATTAAATTTTATTATTATTTTGTTTTGTGTTCTATATATTAAATTATATGTTACTTAACCGTTCATACTTTCACATTAATAAAAATTCGCACGCATAATTGTTCCTAGAAAGTATAAAATGTAAATTAAAAGTAATGCTATTCTTTAATATATTCTTTAAAGAGTTGGAGTTTGAATTTCAACATATCTTAAAGCAACATTTTTTACATTATTGACAATAAAGGAGAAGAAGTTTGAAATAGATACTGTTATTACCTCACTTTATACACGCCGGCGCTTGTGTATGTCATATTTGTATGCGTATACATTGTTACATATATACAGAGTAAACTAATAATAACTGTCACTACTTGAAGTATTTTTCAAATACAAGCGAACAAATTTTTTTAGACTGAAGCTATTGCGTTAGATAAATTCAAAGAGACATTGAGTAGTAGTATTATATGTGTGTGCGTGCGCGCGTGTATGCGTATGTGTGTGAGTAAAGAATAATATTTTTAATTCAAGTATATAAAATGGAGTTATATTAAAAATATAAAAATACAAAAAATATAATAAGATGATAATGTTGTAATATTATAAAATATTGTGATAAGAAAGGGAGAAATTTTCTCTCTAAATTCGTTCATTACGGACGTATTTTAGTGAAATTACAATTTATTAATTTTACTTTAGCGAAAGGTGGATAAACAGAAAGAACAATACTTCTTTCTCATTGTCAGTCAGAAAATTAATTAAATAATTAATTTGGATGTACACGCAAAAAAATTAGTGTCAAGAAACACCGCTGTCGTTTATGTGATGTTCGTGGTGTCATATGTGACACACGTGACGAACGTGTTAAACGCGCGAGACAAGATTAAGAGATTGACTGGTGCAATAATGAGGGCACTTCCCGGCATTAAATTCATCCCTCTTCTATGACTCTCATCATTAAATCTTCACCTAGCCAACTTCGACCAGCTCTTCTTATATGTTATAGAAGGCACATAATCGAAAAAATTTATTTTTGATTAATTTTGCATTTATTCTAAACTTATTCACTCTAAATTTAATTGTGCATATTTTTTTTATATTTACAATGCGTTCGAAAATCAATAAGAATTTTATTAATAGTCTTAGAGATAGCAATGACTGTTATGTAGGTAATTATGACATTTCTAAAAAATTATAGGCACTTTATAAGTCTAAGAATTATATAATTTTAATTTATAATATAGCATTATACCATAAATTCAAGAACTATTTTATAACAATACCAAATATGTAATATTTTCTAAAAGTTAAAATAGATACCAAAATTTTTTTCAAACTGTTTCATTTAAATATATTTAATTTTGATTATTCAGGACAATTCACAATCTAAATTGTCTAAATTGGTGTATGAAGATTGTTATATTATGATTGAGATAAAAATTGATTATATGGATCATGAAACATTACGTTGAATACCAAGGACAGAGAACACTTTACTTGGTCAGTCTTTAATCGTTAAAGCCCGGATGCTGCGTAGTTAGAAGAACTTAAGTCGCACGAATGCACCGCATGACGTTTTTGTGCCCTAGTTAGGACAATTATTTGATAACCTTCACCGATAAATTCGGCTCATTTTAAGCGTCTCTGAACGTAAAAATATATCAATTCATAGTAGACTTTGCGTGACTGAGAGAATGGATTTACAGAGTAATAACAAAATACGCTAACCATCGATGAGCTCAATATTCCCTTTATTTAATACAGCAGGCAATTTGTATTTATGTGTCTACCGATTTTTATATTTACATACACGTATACTTATATAAAATTAATATTGATTCCACTTTCTTGTGTAACTCGTTTTTATGTATTTCTATATATGCATGATATTCTAGGATTCTAGGATTTTACATTATGAACAATTTCTATAATATCATATGTGACTTAATAATCATTTGCATAAAAAAATATATATAACATATACAGGTACATATATATTTTTCAATGTTGAGTTTAAAGTTAAATTAAAAAATGTATAATGCAATATATAACTTTACTATTTGATCACTCTTGATTTGTAAAATTGAATGCACATCATGACAGATTTTCGCGAAGTATAAATAAATCCGCGAATCATGATTCGCGGTGCATGCTGAATAATCTACATATCAGACCGAGGACAGACGGACCGTCCGCATTTGCCATTTGCAAGGTGATACGCTTTTTCCATTCTTAACGTGACAACTGTCATCCTAGACGACGGCCATTGTCATCGGGATGCTATGTTACTCTCGTAACCTTCTTCAAACCGTATCTTATGTTCACGTATGTCGTATGATATTAATTTAATTTAACTAAAAATTGTGGAATTTATCGACTTTTTTCTAACATTCTTCAATGTTTTTTATTTTAAAATATCTCAATGTATGTGCACGCATATACTTTTTAATAATTACATAAAAAATATATGTATAATTACTGTATATATTTATATTTCAAATATTACACACGCATATAAATATAATAATATTTTATATGTATAATACTGTAATCAATTACATTTTATGCTATGAGAGATCTAAAAGATTAATAGTCAATCTCTACGTTTATCTCGGCGAGTCGATAAACTTAACAAATAACTATGTTAGCATAGACACGTGCGCACGTAATTAGATTCAATTGAAGTCATGATTAATAATGTAAAAATCGGTAATTTAAACCGTTCAATCAAATATATATACTATGTATCTCAAATCAGATACGATTCCAATAACTTTGATAGCGCAATTTAATGTCTTTCTAACAAAAGAAATGCAAAAGTTATGGAATACGAAGTTTTAATCTTTGAATTGTGAGCATTATAAAATACATAAATAATATAAATTGAATAAAAAATTGAAAAGATTTTCGTATAAAAGTATATAATGTTAGAGTTATCCTGTTACACTTTTTTTAAAGTTATACTGAATTCAAATATGAATTTAAAAAGCTATATAAATTATCTTCTATCTGTATAATTTATCTACTTAACATAGTCTAATCTAATTTAACTTTCGTTGAGCATGTGTAATATATTGAATTATAATAATATTAAATATATTGACTGTGCTCTAATTTTGATTTTATGTTTACATGAATGTTTACGTCCAAATTGCTGTTTATTATCAACAATTAGAGAATAATTAATCAGTACAGTACAGTAAAATTTTAGACTGTCATTTCTAACGTTTAAAATAGTTTTGTGAACTAGTTTCATACAATATAAAATTATGGGAATTTGACCTACATATACTATCATACCTCATTATTATGTACACAGATACACAAATTATACAGAATTATAATTAATTATACAGAGCACATTAAAGTCGACGATCCAAACTTTGATAAAAAGATCGAGAAGAATCACAAAATAAGTATAAAGATTGCACATATTTCGCACATGTTTCGAACATGTGTAAATGTAGCCCTGAGATACTGTGAAGAAGACGCAGATGATATCACGGATTTGACCGTGAAGATGCGAAACTTTCGCGTCGATTCTCGATCTCGTAAGCTAGTAGGAGGTGGCAAGAAAGAGAGGGATAAGATAAAATAAGAGAGAAAAAGAAATAGGAGGGGGGAGCAGATGAAATGGCTGTGGACGGTCTGACGTCACTCAAAAAGCCTGTTGATGCATCTTTTTGTCAATGTGAGTTAGCTCGCAGTTTCGCGAAACGCTTCGTCATCGATGTTATACGTATTTTCTCGTCGTGAAATATCAATGTAAACGCGAACGCGATATCTAGCATTTTCACAGCGATGCATAAAAATTCTCTAGAAAACGTCAAAACTCCGAAAGATGAAAGAGGAAAAGTGTTTGGTAATTCAGTTTGGAGGTGAATCGTTATAAGCATGCGCAATTTGTGGAGATACGTAAATGAGAATGTAAACAGAATGTTCTAAACCGAGGAGCGTACAAGGTGAAGTGGAATGTAAAATAATATTTTTGGAGCTCTAGAGATATTATTCTGATCAGAATAATACACAGACTTTCTTGATTCTTATTTACAATGACATTTGAGAATGCCCCTTAAAGATTTTTGTTATAATAATGATTCTGTATTTCGGAAAAGTGTGGGGATATTATTTTAAATTTTTTATTTAAATAAACCCTAATTGTATTAAAAATTTGAGAATTATATATTTGTAAAGAATTTCATATATTATTATTAATTATATTGTAAATAAATTTCAAATCAACGTCGCGGATAAAATATTTTCATACTTTACGTCAAAATATTTAAGAATCTGTAACTTTATTCGTATTTTTCGGAAAACAATCGTTTTCAAAGATTCGAAAGCAATTGTTATCTTTCAAAGATAAGGCAGAAAATAATTTTTATCAGAAAAATTTAAATTAATAAAAAAAAATCTAATATCTATGAATAATATGAGAAAAATTTACTGCGTATTAGTTAAAGAAATTTTTTTTTATTAGAAATTAGCGCTCGGGATTCGTTTAATCTCGCGTTTGAAATTCGAAGTTGATTCGACACGCAAGCGCAGAGGATTTATGGATCCGCAAATATCTATATAGGGTTAATAGAGGCTTCCATATGTCCTCGCGTGCCCGTTGGGTTTCCGGCGCGGCAGGAAGCGTGCGGAAAGCGGAGAAGTGCCGTCACGCCGTATTAGGTTCATGATATTAAGTCCATTTTATACACTCTGTGAGATTTAACATTAGAATTTTTTTAAAATTTTATGTGTGTGTTATAAATTGCAATTATAATATTAGACTTATAATATAGATGGAGATAATTATTAACATAAATGTATTAATAAACAGTAATACTAATTATAGATACATAATATTTTAATTACATAATAATATGTGAATATATTAATGTAGAAACAATATTATAGAAACAATTAATATTACGATACGTAACGTATGCGTGGCTTGTATGCTTTATTATCTATGCACACAGAAATAGTAAATACATCTTATAAGTGCGTATGACAATATAACATATCAAGCTTATTATTCAAACCCTTTCAAATTTTCTAACACAGAATTATAATTCTATATTTGTAATTTAATGTCTTTACAGGTGTAAATAAAATATAAGCAGATATTCTGATAATTTTTCAAGTAATTTTATAAAAGTATTTTATACTTATTTATTATATTATAGTTTTTACATTTAATAAAAATTGCCTAGTATATTTTTAAATCTATAGAAGAACTTTATAAATATGTAAATGCAAAAAAAAGTATCAAATATAATAATTTGCGTAGTAACAATTTTGCACCCAAATATATTTGCCCCCTTTCTATACTAGATTGTTTAATATGGGCTTTATGCATGTACGATGATTAAGGCGTGCGTACTACCACCGCCAGCGCGCTATAAAGAGATAAACGCTATGGCGAGATCTCATGTGACTCGAGAGAGCGAACGAACATGGGTGAATTTAAAACAGTCGTAACCGTGACGCGCGTACGTGCGCTCGGTGTGAGTTATTGGAAAAGCGCGGAAAAACTACCATTACTTTCGAAGGTATGCCATTTTACTCTTCATAGGAAATACATGGAAAGGAACGAAATTACAACGCAATTACTCACTAATATTTTAATTTAATATAATTTTATGTTATTAAAATAATTTTAATTTAAAAAAATATATTATGTATCTATTATGTATAATATATTATGTATAAAATATATTAATCAACTGTTATATGTAGAAAATTATAAATATAGTGACAATAAGAGAAAAAAATATTAGAATAATATATATAAATATATATTTTAAACGTCTAATAATAAATTAAATATAAATTAAGTTCAAATATATATATTTTTTAAAACTTTGCTCTATGAGCTGTAGTCTATGTTTTTTATTTATTTGAAAATAATTCACAATTCTTGAGAGAATTCTATTAGAGAAATTTTAGTCGCTAGTACGACTAAAATGACAGCATTTCTACGTTTAGAAAGTTACAAAAAAATTTATAACACAATCTCCTATAAAAATAAATTTATAATATTTTGAACATAATTATTTAAACGCAATATTATGCAGTTTTTGGTTTGCAAAACTATCTTAAATGTGTTAAAATTTTCGCGCAAGTAAAATCATCAATTTTGAAGATTTCATGTCGTTTCGTTGGCGGCGCAAAATCATTCCAATAATTGTTAATTGATTGCCTCTTTTACGAATAAAAATTCTCAATCAAATATTGAAGACGCATCATAATGACAAATTTATTGATCGTAATATCTACAATTTTATAATAGCGAGAAGAAAATGCTTCTTTCGCTTATTCGGACTTACGTAACATATATGCTAATCGTGTGTAACAAGCTGCTTGTCAATTAGCGTAATGTGATAAATAATGCTCAATTGTCAAATGCAACTTCTTATTTACCCAGGGACGATAAAGGTCCAAAGCCTAAGAAGATCGAGCGATGCTGAATAATTGGCATTTCATCTCAAAGATCAAATCAAAATCAGTGCATTTCAATTAATAACTAAAAAAGAAGTAAATAATAAAGAGAACAATCAATCCATACAGATTAAAATTGAAGAAACAATCAGGAGAATCGAAATGAGATGATCATCGTAAGAATAGATCTTAACAAATCTAAAAGAGAAGAAAGAAAGAGTGTGTTGCAATGGAGTCGAAATCAGAGCGATTTTCTTCTTGAAGAAGAAGAAGATGATGGATGAGTCGTCGAAACTTTTTCGGCTTCCGGGAACTATCGAGGAAGAGGAGGAGGAGGAACTGCAGAAAGGGACAGAGGGTCATAAAACGAAGGAATTACTAGACAACGCAACGGAATCTCTTATTCTGGGTCAAAAAGGCGGCTCAACACTTTCTACTTTACCAAGGAATGTCACCCTTATCAGGGTCAGCACTCAGGGTAGCAGCATCGCCGGCGGTATCGGTCGACAGGACTCCACCAGGTAAGAATCTCTCTGATTCAGATCATTTTATTCGTCTAAAATTTCTTTATTTTTTTTGTTCAGATATTGCAAATTCTATCTGTTTTAAAAATATTGAACAAGATCACGAGTCTGTCGCAAAGTGGTTTATTTTTGGAAGAACGCTATGCTAAAAGCGGGCGCGTCATATTTGTCAAGTAATTATTGGCGCTTCTGCTCAACAGGTGGTCTCCACGGTTTTAAACAAATTAGACAAAAAAACAGAATAATTCGTATTTCGATAATTGAAACGTTAAACTTGGATGGACGTGTTTGAACCCTTACGGAAAAATACAGAAAGACTGCTGTAGTTGCGAAAAAAATACATTAAACTATAGTAAATATTATACAGTAATTGGTATAATTTTGTGTAGCGTAGTATGGGGCGAATTATTCTAAAATAAAAAACATTCTATAAATACAAAACCTTGCGATAAAATTATGTTGCGTATATCTATAGTATAACATGTAGGCAAAATTTGGTGATAATAATGTCGCGCATTATGGATCTAAATGACGATTCCTAAGAATATAGCGAGTAAAGGGTAAACACACATGGTAATCTTATTTGCACATGCACATTTAACACGTAATACGGATGAAACATCAATTGCGCGTTAATTGTGCCTGATGGTGACGGACTTATTCTTGTATTTACCACGAGACATTGATGTATTACATTTACTTTTATCATTGGCAGGCAAGGTTCTTACGTAGCGAAAAATAATTTTGTCGCAAAGTTGTCTCTGCTACATATTAGATATAGAAATTATCTAACTTTGCTAACAATTATGCTTCATTGCCAATTATTTGATGTTATAAATACGATGAACACCCTGTATAACATACTATACAAGATTTATTTTAATTTGATCAAAGACATTGATTTTAAGAAAAAATTTTAAATAAAAGATGAACTCTAAATAAAAAAATTTCAAAGAGGACATAAAACAGTGCAATTGATTAATATTAGATAGTCTTTTGAAGGTCATAAAGATTCAATTTTTTGAATAAAAATTCCTATTTTTTATCCTCATATTTTTGTAATTAATCAAGACGTTTTTAAAACACAAACTCTTTTTTAATTTCCTAATTTATGTGTCTTTGAAGTTTAACTATCGTCAACATTACTGTCACTCAAAGTATGCTACGTGAAGGTTGCCCGATCGGATTTATACTCTTTATGTGCATGTGTGCGAGGCGCGCGTACGTGCATATAAGGTATGAAATCTTAATTCTTCAAACATGTTTGAAACATAAAAATTATTTTCGCAAGAGAACTGATAAGTGAACTGACTGATTTTTGGGGATATTTTATTTTTGGGATTGTTTAGTTATTAATTGCGAATTTAATAGACAATTGAAAAATAAATTTAAAAATAACTGTTGCATTGTTTTTTTTTACAAAAAGTAAAATTGCGATCATGTTACACAATTTAATAAAATTTATGATTGCTGAAAGCAAAATTCTTATTGAAAAAGTTACAATCAATTTTGCGATCGTTAAAAGAGAAGAGATCGTCAATTGTGCTGTCTTTGTTGAACCGAGCTGCTTGTTAATTTAATTGAATGGTTCGTTATCGCCATGTGATAACGGTTAGTTGGATCTGGTCCGGCCGCGAATGATACAGAAGAAACGAATCGATCTTTTTTTGCGTATTTAATTCACATAGATCGAAATTGTGTTGATCATGGATCACGAGAGATTAAATATTTCGAAGAAAAGACCTATTTGTATGAGGTGCAAACGAAACCGACGGTTGGTGCAGTTGTTTCACATTTCTTTGTCGTTTCAATGCTGGATTACAAAGTTTGCAGATTGTGTGACACTTAAGGTTATTATTAGACAAGATACATAGGTTTATTTCTTGTCCCTTCTTTTTTATAAGATAAATATTTGTTCTTTTTAAAATTGCTTTTTTTATCTTTATTATTTCTAAATTTTATTAATTAGGTTACAATTCAGAACCTTAGATAAGAGAAGAATCTTACACCAAAAAAATAATATTTATTTGTATTATAACTTATAAAGCTTTAAAAAACAAGAACCATTATGATTTGTCTAATTTTTTTATATTAACTATTATGATTTTAAAAAATTTAAATTTAAATTTTTCAATACAAAATTTGATGTAAAAACTAATTAACTAAATGAGGACAACAATCTACGACAATATTACGACGAGTCGAGATAAGAAACATAATTAGATAACATAAGAGACATAATAAGAAACAGAACAACAAAGTCGATTATTCATAAGTTTTCATAACAGTATTAATTAATTTATACGTCAAATATTATAAGAAAGCTGTAATTAAATTTAACAATAAGATATATGTTTAGAACCAAAAGACTTAAGGTTTAAGTAGCCAAAACTCACAAACCATTTAAAGAATACCTAATATATTATTTTTATTCATGTTATTATTTTATATTTTGTCAAAATGTTTAGAATAAAAAAGAGTATCTATCTAAATAATTAAAAATATTCTAATATAAATTTATGTATTTTATTTTTTGTTCTTTGCCGTTTTAAAACGGCGCGTTTTATTTGTTTTGTATCAAAAGTTTTCACTTCAAGAAAATCTTTAACGTGCTACTGAAAGGCAAGAGTGCTATTTATATTTTTAAATTAATCACATTTTTTTATTTCTGTAATAAGTTAACTTCTATAGTCTCAAAATATTAGATCATCTAGTACCACAAAGTATGTCAAAAAATAGCAGTTTCTTTATTTAAACTAGGACATAATAAGAAATGTGTCTTTCAACAACCTTATATATTTTCAACACATTTTATATTAACATTATACATATTAATCTCATAAATGGTATTTATAAATTGATAAAATATATTGCACGTTTAAATAATTATTTAACGAATAAAATTTGATTTTGTTTTTATCTATATAATTTTTTTTATGTACATCTTATGGTCTGATTTTTTAAGTAAAACCAAGTAGATACAAAAAATTTAACAAATTATGGTTACTCTCTGACTAGGAAGCAAAAGATAGCGTCTTGCTGTCATGTTTTGCATATATCAGCGCAATTTCAGCAGCCAGTCAGATCCTGATAACAAGATGCCAAGACGCCGATAAGAAGTACGCGACGTCAGTCAGTCAGTCGAACGAGAATCGCGCGTGAATCGTGAAGTCGTTTCCATCATCTTTTTTCATTTTCGATCATTCATTTCGATTCTAAATTCTAACATTTCGCGATAACCGTTAATAATTGCGATATTTTCTCAAGTTTTAATTAAATAGTAAATAGTACGAAATTAATAAACGCCAAATTGATTATCTTATTATGTATTACGCGATGATAAAATCATCGGATTTCTGATATATAATTTATATCTACGATAATTTCTTTAGTCTGTATAATGTGCTAAAAAAAAGAATAAATATAATTAAAAATTAGAAACTAAAACTCTTTAACAATTGTCAATCACTGTGTGCATTAGTATTTAAATCTTCAGTGACTTTCGATCACCCTGTATATTGATATTTCAGCCCACCTTGTATATCTTGTGTGACGGATAGTGTAACAACGTACATCATATGACTATTACTAATCATGTGACTACTAATTATCACGGGAGAAGAAGAAGAAAAAAAGACAAAAGGTGCAATTCAAAATAACAGATTTGTCATTAATATGAATCTTTCTATATACAAGTGTAAAATTTATGCTATAACGAATTGTTTTTATAACATATCACATCCTATTCGAGTATTATGAAGCATTGTTATATCAGTTTCTCACTTTTCCTTATGTGATTCCACAAATCTGTTCCTAACTTCAAAAATTGTAAATAACATTTTTGTAGAGAAATTATGTCACCTTTATGTGATTCCATAAATCTTTGATTATCAGAAGATGTTTGTAAGACTGATACAATCATCTTTAAATATAAAAAAGAATAAATGATCATAATCTGTATCATGTGGTTACTGTATCGTGACTTTGTTGGGTATATAGTTATAGATTTTCCAAAAGCAGAACCGGTCATCTGTTCATCGTGCGCGAGTGACGTAACTGACGCGAGTGATCACCTATTCTTCGCGAGAATAGGAGGAACAAATAGCGTTTTGTTAGTGACCGATAAATGGTGCTCGATGGTCAGTGCGTATATAAGACATATGTATATAAGACATCGCAGATGACCAGCTACTCGCAGCAGTTTATCTTGCAGCGGTAGATCCACCACTACATGCCAAGTGCGCGTGAGCCAACTGATCGAATCACCTCAGAAGAATCATTATCAATGAGTGCTTCGCAAATTAAAAGACCGATTAAAAAACACAGAGTCGTAGTTAAAGTAAGAGGAATCACACAAGTAAATACGAAGATCGAAAGTGAAGAATAAATATCCGGAGAGCTTATACTTCCGTGAGGAAAAAAAATTTAATACAAGACTACTGAAGATTTCATTCTCAATTCTCTAAGCGTATTCACAAATTAAAAAACCGATTAAAAAAGAAAAATCTTTCTAAAATTTCGAAAAATCCTTGTAACTTCGGAAAACCATAAACGTTCATGGAAAGGAAATTTGAAGAAAAAAAGAAGCGTACAAATGTTGAAGTTTTATTTAACTCCACATGTGTCTTTGAATTAAAAGACTAATTTAAAGAATGTTTGATCGATGGCAAAAATTCGCAATAGCGACAGTGAATAATGGATCTCTATAGACTATCTTGAACGTCTTTTTGGACAAGAAGTTCAATAAAAAGAAATATGCAAAACAAATTTTAGAATATTAGAAAATTATATATTAAGATTTTATTGAAGAAATAACGATCGAGAGTGAAGAGTAAAACTTTTTAAAGAATCCTGAATCTTTATAAAATAAATATATTTGATACAAGAATGTACAAATGTTGAATGCTACTGAAGTGTTTATTCTAAATATCTTAAACAGACTACGTTCGTAGTTGTCCCGCTATTAAACTACTTGATATTGAGATTAGCATTGTGCATTATAGTGAATCATGAACGGGATGAATGGCAATGTGTTGAAGATGGGCGACAAATCCCCATCGTTGGATTGCGGAGAAGAACAAAATCTAATACCATCGACCACACCGACGACGCCGATAATCGTGCAAGTGACAAAGAACCCGTACTCTTCCTTGAAGTGCAGGTAAATCGAACAAAACACGTTTGAATTTTTATTTCGTTATTTTATCAAAGAATTATACAGATTCCTTAATAATCTCATATTGTCAGTCACGAAACTAAAACTCGTGATAAAAGTATCATGAGCAGCAATATTATTGAATTAATGCAACTGCTGAGTCGCTTGCAGTGCAGTTTCATAGAAATACTACGTTGGGATAAATTAACAAGTATCGACATTGCTCTTTAAATATTTCAGTACACAAGATTTGTGTTTGCGTGTTTAAAAAACGAGAAACTAAAATATAAAATTTACAAATTGAAAAACTGTTTACTGATACAAAAAGACTTTTAGGTATAGATTTAAAAATATATATATATACATATGTTGTTTTTAAGTTTTTCCTTTTTCTTTCTCGAGAGAGACAATGTGATGTTCCTTTTTAATCTGTCCACAAGAGTTAGGACGATCTGCATGTAAAAAAATTGGGACATTAAAAATAAGATATTTTTTGTAATTTGAATTAAAATTTCGTACTAGAAATGTTCGCAATTATTAGCTGCAATTGATTAGTAACTAAGATATTTACGATAATTATTATCTTACCAAGAAACCGCTATGAATATACTGCTCACTGCACGACGCGTGAAAAAATGCACAATGATTGCATTCTTAACAACAACATGATGGTGACGAAGCAAATGCACAATTGATAACATCGTTCTCTTTCAAAACAGACTACAAAGAAATTTATCGTGATAATTCTGATAAAAAAATAATTATCAAAGAGCAGCATTATGTTCAACTAATTTATCGATAAATGTGATAATAAAACAAGAAAAGAAACGCTTAGTCCTTAAATAAAAAATAATTTTTATACAAGGTACAAATACTAATTTATTATTTAATGTGTTCTAAACATAATAAATATATGTATAATTATACAATATTAATATTTATCAAACTGTAAATCTTTCCTTTCAAATATAAAGATAAGTAAAATAAGGAATGGTTCTCGTTTGTAAAAAAACTCTTAAAAGGAATCTAAATAAAAATATTCAGACTAGTATAAAACAATAAACACAGATGTTTATACGATACAAGTTTTAGCTGTTATTTAAATCCTCTTTAGCTAAATTACTAATCAAACATATGAATATTTGCCCGGTCATATTTATCTGAATTTTTTGTTTAAATTTTTTTTTTTAAGTTTCATTGTTTGCACATATTTATTTATTATATGTTGCTTTTAATTTAACATAAATATATAATAATCACTATAGTATATAATATACATATAATAATTACTATATATTTATACGGAAACACACACATTATGCATAGAATTTACTAATGCTGCTTGTTCTTTATTAATATCATATTAGTATCTTATTGTCTTCCTTGTAAAGAATTTTACAATTTAGCACAAACAATACTCCAGAAATGGTTAATATTTGTCTATTCACCAACTGCTATTCTTATCAACATCTTGTGATGCTCGATAAGAGGATTAGAGATCCACGACGGTATCTTAATGACAGACTGTCCAAGGTCGCGCGAATAAATGGCCCATAAAAGATGAGAAAAGTAGAACTTTTCATCCCATAAATCACCACACATAATTCTAGATTATTTTGGACAACTCGACGTGAATATGATATAAATTATTTTCTTTATCTTTGACAATGATTTTTTACAAATAAATTTTGAACGTTTTTTTTACTATTTTAAACTATATTATAATATTTTTAAAATATATCATTCTTGCGTATTCTTATTGTGTACCTATGTAAAACATTAGTTTAAGTTTTTAGTACATATAATATTCCTGTAATAAAAATATGTTATAAAAATTTGCATTATTTATTTCTTATTATGAAACGTAGAGCAGATTTATAAAATATAAATTCACATAATATTTTTTAATTTTGAGATTAAAATATTCTAAATATCATCATCTTTATATCTTATAGACTTCAAAATGGAAGACTAAATAAAGTAACCGTTGTATTAATATATTTTAATTTGTATTAAAATAATTCCAAATTAATCTATATCAATAATTGATGATTTGTTTTCCTAATTAACATCGATTAATAATTCCGAGAGAATTTGTAAATTAAAAAAACGAATACCAAAAGTGTGATTTATACGATCAGCTGATCGGATAGTATCATCGACCCGGAGGAGACGGCGGAAGTGAAGAATGCCGTCACTGATTAGGCGATTCATTAACGCGTGGCAATAAGTAAATTGGTAGATAACAGCTGCGTGGTTATCGTTCAAAGTTAAAATGGCAACTTCCTTTTTATACATGGCAGTAAAGAGACATCAGGCTCCCGAGAGAGTCTGAGCAGCGTCGAATCGCTGACAGTGATATCTCGTATAAACAACAGCCAACCTCCAGCCATAGTGTTTGTCCGTTATACGCTAATGAGTATAATACAAGTGTTCATGAATATCGAGGTCACGATATGTTATATTGAGATTTATTCACGTTAAATAGAAGTTAATAGTTACGTATAAATAATTCATTTTATATTTTTTATAAACGTTTTTATATGAACGTTAAATATAATGGATTCATTATATCGGGATTAATATACAAAGTTGCTATTGTGAAATCAAATGTGATGATATATTTTGATGTAATTAGAATGTGTTGGACGTTTGAAAATAACAAATAACTTTAAAATACGATAACGTGGCGAGATATCAAGGCTTTTAGCCCGAATCATTTTACGACGTTTTGGATTCATTATGTCAAAGTGCAATAATGATGATGAACAATGCACAGAAATCCGTGGTAAGTAAAAACGAAAACAAAGAAAAATATCTATTAAATAGGTAACTGAAAATACAATTTAATTATTATTATTGTACAAATAAACAAATTGGGATATTTGGCCTAAAGCAATTTTCACTATTTCTATCGCATCCGAAAATGATTAAAGATTTATTGAAAATTCACTTTGAATTTAGCCTTTTAAAGCTTTAGACTAGTTACTCTAATTATTCTTTTTAAAATATATTTTTGCTTTTAATATAAATTTTAAAAATAATTTAATAATAACACATACAGTGGCTATCAAATTTTCCGCCAAAGTATAATTTTATCATACCTGTCTAAATATATATTATATATTACCTATATCGTAAACTCTCAATTATACCAATATTGTACATATAGTATATTTCAAATTGACGGTATCAAAAAAGTTCCATGTGCAATAACGGTGTATTTAATAATTTCCAAAATAAAATCACATCTGACAAAAGTTTCCTGTCACAAATAGCAACTTTGTATGCTTATAACGGTTTTATCCAGCATATATACGTTTGTTTTTTTATTTAGTGTTCCACCTTATAGTAACAGCCAGATACCATGTCGTTAAATTGTCAAAATGTCGTATCATACAAATTTAATTACGTGGAACAGTGATTCGCACATGTCGGGTAATAAAAAAATATTCAGAAATATTGCTACGACATTGTATGTTAAAAAATTATTAATTACCCAAGCAATTAAATTGTCGAAAGAAATAATCTTCCAATATCCAAACAATCACGTAAACTATTAAAGAATGATTTGCTTCAACGTACTTTAACGAAAATCGTATCTATATTTCAGGAGTCGATACCGGGCTGGACCGACGCGGAAGTTGCGTCGTCGCGCCGTCCTGAAGAATGGCGATTGCAATGTGCTGCAATCGCGCATCTCCCGGCGATCGCTGCGTTTTCTGCAGGACATCTTCACAACCCTAGTGGACACACAGTGGCGTTGGACGCTGTTATGCTTCATGTTGAGCTTTCTTCTATCCTGGCTGGGTTTCGCGGTGATCTGGTGGCTAATAGCCTTCACTCACGGTGACTTCGAAGAACAGCATTTGCCGCCTTTTCAACCGGAGAACAACTGGACGCCATGCGTCTACAACATTTTCAGCTTCACTAGCTGTTTCCTCTTTAGTATCGAAACCCAGCACACCATCGGATATGGCAGCCGTTCTACTACCGAAGAATGTCCCGAGGCCATATTTATTATGTGCCTTCAAAGTATCTCTGGCGTCATGATCCAAGCTTTCATGGTGAGTGCGTTTGGGGAATGTTAAATATCCTCTGCATATAAAACGTCAGATAAAAGATTAAGTTTAATTTAAAAAAATTAATTGCAGGTAGGCATCGTATTCGCCAAAATGACTAGGCCAAAACAGCGTACCCAGACTCTGTTATTTTCGCGAAATGCCGTGATCTGTCAACGGGATGGCGAGCTCTGTCTCATGTTTCGAGTGGGCGATATGAGGAAGAGTCACATAATCGGCGCGAGTGTACGCGCACAAATGATTCGCAGTAAGACGACCAAGGAGGGCGAAATTCTGTCTCAACACCAGCACGAATTGGCGGTAGGTACCGACGGTGAAAACGGCGATCTGTTTTTCATCTGGCCGGCCACCATCATCCATCGGATCAACGAGTCCTCGCCCTTCTACAATATGTCCGCCGAAGATATGTTGACTGAACGTTTCGAGGTCGTTCTGATCTTAGAAGGTACTATCGAGTCTACTGGACAAACTACTCAGGCAAGGTCAAGTTATCTCCCACAGGAGATCCTATGGGGTCACCGTTTCGACCCCATGGTAAGCTACTCCAAGGAACGACAAGGTTACGAGGTGGACTATTCGCTGTTTAACAGTACTACTCAGGTTGACACCCCGCTGTGTTCCGGCAAAGAGCTTGCAGAATTTTATAAGGCGCAGGATGATCTTCGTCACGGAACTGGTACGTGATCACGTGATTAATTTCTCATATAAATTTTCCAGATAGTTTTCTCAATTTTTGGTTTGTTAAATGAACACAAAGTATATCTAAAATAACACTAAATTTATTTCTTTGAGCATTTATTTTAAAATATTTATATTCCTCACAATTATAATTATTACATTGTTTTATATAATGTGCTGAAACATTAGTTTTATATAAAGTTATTGCATTCATATATTGCAAACCAAAAATTAAGACAGCGACATGAGAAGAAGTGCAAATATTTCATTAATGGAATCTAGAGCTACCTAGTTTTTTGCGAAATATATCGATAAAGATCAAATTCTCCATGGTTATCGAGATATGAAATACTGATAACAAAACAAATCTTATCTACATTATCTATCTATATTACAATTAATCAAATATACCGAACAATCAATATGTTTGTTTAGTCTGAGATAATTTCTTATGTACGTTTGGTAATTAGTTTAGTATGTCATAAATTGATGTAACACATTGTTCATTTACAGTTATCTAGAATTCAATATTGAAGAATTTGTATTTCCTACTCATAATAACTGTAGTGATAACCAAATCTAATTATCTTTAGATTTTAATGGAGCTATCTATAATCAGATTTAAATCTTATATATTACCACACATACACGAGCGAGCGCGCACGCACACAAATACTTTTAAATCTACCTATTTTGATTAAGAGAATAATACTTTTAAATCTACCTATTTTGATTAAGAGAATTAATCCTACGAATGAAAAAAATTTACATTACTCTACGTATTATTAATTTCTTTATTCGGAAGCTTCCTGATCTCATAACTGTCAAGGGCTATTAAGTGTACTAATTGCCAGCATGTTAACGCTTAGTCTGAACGAATTCCAAGCAAATTCCAGCCTATTCCTGAATAGCCAAATCTGTTGAATACAGATTTTGAAAGTATTTGCCAACAGAATGCCAGCAGAAATACAGAATATCTGATAATTATTGGAACAATGCAGCAAATGAAGTGAATTAAACTGACAATGAGTAAAAAGTTACTCTACCTTTTGGCGATTTTTGCAATAATAAACGTGGAATTAATCAATAAAGTAAATAGTCTGTAAATAGAATATATGCTAACGAAATTTGTTAACAAAATATAATGACAAATTGACCGCAGAAAATGAACAGAATCTGCCGTAAATATTTAAATTATGTATTCTATTTAAATGTTTACGTGACAGATTTTGTTTGGTTTTTGTCGACAATTTGGGGGTCGATTCTGTATCTTGGGACTAGGTGAAAATTACAAAAGTGAGGAAATTCACTAGAGAATCTACAATTTTATTTGTCGAAATCTAGTAAATCTGTTCACTTTTGTAATTTTCACCTCGTCTCAAAATACAGAATCGACCTCCTGCTCAGCAAAACAATTTAATGCACACAGATGATACTGAATCTGTTGCAATATCTGAGTAAATCTGCTGCCAATCTGTTGTCATGTTGCAGGCAGATTGCTTACTGGGATTGCTAATTCTAACTCTTTAGTTCTCGCATGTTGCTCATTATTGTCTTTGTCTAATCATCTGGTACTGGCTGTACCACAGATGGAAGCCTGAAAAAAATCCCTAGCGAGCCGAAGAATGTCCCGATCGTGCTCAACATGCTCCCTCAAGCCGACAGCACAGGTTTCCTCATCCATCAAGATCGTTCTTCTCAGAAACCGTCCAAACTGCATATTGACATTCCGTCTATCGACGATTGTCCTGGAGTGTAATTTATCTCGCGTAGAAAAAGTTAAAATAAAGAATGAAGAAGAAAAGTAGGAATAAATCAAAAAGAAAAGCTAAGTGATAAAGAGACGACATTCCTCATCTTATAAAAATTTAGATAATTTATTTTTTCGTATTTCGTAAGGAAGGAATAAGTTGTACCTCGATTATACGTTATATAATTAAAGAAAATCAGCAATAAATTAAATTAATTAATTAGAATGATTTTGATAACACATGTATTTGAAAGACTTGAGCTGTTCTAAGATTGAAATACTAAAAGAACAAGTCACGTCCCAATTATACGTTAGATAACTAATGTGATAAATTAGATCTTTACGACATATTTATAAAACTCAAATTACATTTCCAGGTTGGGATACGAGCTATCCAAATCTTTTGTAATTTTTACTGAGCTTGGTTGTGATTGTCTATCTATTTAAATCCCACGCTGACGAGGCATTGTAAATTGAGTGTATCAAAAATCGCATATTAGTATTTATTTATTATAATGTATAGTATTATTTATTATGACACTTGCATATTATTATTTAAATTGAAATTCAATGAAGACAAAGCAAATAAAGATTGAGACGTTAGAATTTGACTCATTTTATTCTTTTAATCTCTAATTTCCGTGTGGCATTGGTGGCTTATTGATTTTTTATTATATGATAAAACGCATACATAAAGAAATTGATAGTGCCCAAGAGCCCAGCGATGAAAATGCCCAAAAGCAAAAAGATAAGTGATTTTAACAAATATTTTAAAGTTTTGTTAAATATTGAAATATTTTGTTCGATATTTTTATAAACTCGTATAAATTGCTATAGATAAAAACTAAAGAAAAAAATGCGGAATAAAACGTTACTAAACCGTCAATCACGAATGTTAATTGTAATTGTGCGATTGAATAATATCCGATTTTTCCGATTATGATATTTTTATCTCAATTTTTAATGCGTAGTCTATATGTGTATTGTATAAGCAGAATAAAAAATGTTGAATTGTAAAGTTATGTCCTTAATAATCCTGTTTTTGGCCCTGCAACTTTTCTTTTGGTGTAAAGGCTCTCCTCCTTCTTTAACTTATTAATTATGTACTTTAACCCAGACAATACGAAATAAGGTAATATAAGATAGAATACGATAATGTAAATATTTTATTGCATATAAGAAATCTGTTTGCTTTATGACAGGTGCGTTTCTTTTTATTTTTTATTGGGTTAGTGTATATGAAATGTCGGATTGCTTCACTTTTGGTTTTCTGGGAAATTGTCTTCAGCATGTTAAAGTTAAATATATAACAATGACAATATTAACTGACCACAAATCTCGATTATCGATTAAATTTGAAGAGTTCTTAAGTCGCAGATTGCATTTCAGGTGTTCTAATCGACGAGGATCGCTTAACGAGAAGAGACTGTAAATGCAATTGTCATCCGACCAACCACCAGTATCCACAATTGTCTCTGACACCCTTGGACTGTGCACAGAGCCATAACAGCACGGAAAATGAGTATTATTGGCAAAATATCTGCAAATGTTCAAATTGTATTTTATACGAGCCTCAAGTCACAAACATTGGTCAATCAAAGATGTTCGATTTTGACGCCATTCAGATAATAGAAAACGAGGAACTGCAACAACTGCCAGAAGCGGTAAACAGGGAGATTGTGAAAAACAGCGAGGAGATTGTCTTTGAGGAGGAGGAAAAAGTCTCAGAGAGGAATCTGATTAAATTGAACGACGTAAAAAGTAAGCTTTTAAGTTATAATCAAGAAATTTTTTTTGGAGAAAGAGAAGAAGACGTTTTGATCCCAAGAACTGTGGAAAAAGATATGATTAACAGAGAAAAGAATGCAGATAAAAAAAATCAAGAGAGCCTTGAAGAAGAGAAAGAAGATGCTTCTATGCGAAAAGCCTTAATTAAATTAAATAAAGACAAAGATAAAATTTTGAAGGATAGTCAGAAGATTTTTTTTAAAAAAGAAGAAGGAGACTTTTCAGAAAAATACATGATCAGATTAAAAGAAGACAAGACTGATATTCTGAAAAATAGTAAAGAAATTATGTATGAAGATACAAAAGACGGCTTTTTAAAAAGAAACATAATTTGGTTAAACGAAAAAGGTGCTGATAACTTAAAAAATTGCCAGGAAACCATCTTTAAGCAGGAAAAAGGAATTTTAGGAAGGAAATTAGTCAAATTAGATAAAGGAAATGACGATACCATAAAAAATCATCGTATTTACGAAAATGAGCAACTTGCTTTTATAAAAGTTAAAGAAAGTCCTAAAGATATTCGACATGTAATTAGGCATACTTCATACAAACCTAAAGAGGGATACAAGATGAAAAGTAATGAGTTAGCAAAAAAAGATTACGAAGTATGCCTTGAAAAAAGACAAAAACTACACAATAAACAATGTCAATTAATTATGCTAGTAAATCAAGAACAGAAAAATATAGAAAAAAATATAGAAAAGAATATTTGTGTGAAAAGAGAACGAAATCCTCAAAAAAGGTTTGACAGAAGTTTGAGTGATGACCTTTTAACAATAAGTGATAAAAGATCTTTCAAAAAACCCATAAGAAACACGAGTAATAAATTGGTTCTATCAATAAATCAAGATAATAAAAACTCGAAGAGTGATCCCTTTTTAATTGAGGAGCATACTTCTTCAAAGAAGCATCATAGAAGTTTCACTGATTATTTTGTCACAACAAACGGTGGAAGATCAACAGAGAATGCAATCAGCAACATAAAGAACGTTAGAATATTGGAAGAAGGTCAAAAGTCTTTGCAGCAAATTTCCAAGTATCCTGCAGCATCTTTAGATCATTTAAATAGCAATTCAATTTTTGATCAGCGATTAAATTATGATTCTCTTAGATGGGAAGATGGTGACTCTCATTGTCAAATAAAACAGCATGATAACATTAGAATCGAGAATGAGAAAACTCCGAGAAAATCTTCATGCCATCGTCCCGCCAAAATAGCGATACATGACAAACTTTATTCTAATGATATTCGCTCATTGGACTCTCCAGTTTACGATCTTTCACCAGAATCAGGTTTTTACGAACGTAGTTCGGAGAACAATTATAGAGAGCTGTTTACGAGAAATATGAAAGATGTTGTAAACACCAATTCTGTAGAAAGCAATCTGTCACGAGAGAACGCAATAAGCGATATTGGTAATCCAAAAGAAAGTATTAAAAATCACAGTGTCGAAGCAATTGCTAGTAAAAATAATAGTGTCATAGATAATGAGATTATAGCTTCTTCACCCTTTGATCCATCTTTTAAAAGTTCTTTTGATGACGGCAACAATCTAACTAAATGTGGCGATGCTTCGATTATTAAAGAACAAATTATATGTATAGAAAATAGAGAACAAAACATTCATAAAGCGAACGAAAAATACAGATGTCCAAATACATCATCTAGAAAAGTGATTAGCAATTTTGATGAATTAGAGAAACCTTCTTCGAGTGTCGAAAAACAACTTATCTGTAGCAAAAACTGCATTCAAAATATTGATGAAGATGAGTTGACGACGCAGAGAAAAACGGTTTTTTAAATATTAATACATCTTATAAGCATTTTATTAGGGATGTTGAATGTCCAGAATGGTTTGACGATGCCATTACCGTTGAGAAACAAATCGACGAGAAAAAAAGTAGAGATTTTTCAAATAGCAATACATCATGTGATAACCAATGTAGTTACCGACATTGTTGCTCTAGATCATTTGAAACAATAGAATAATAGTGTTTTAACTAAAAAACAAGTTTATAGCAATACAGTGAAGAATAAAAAGCCAATTTGCAACTTTTCAAACAACATTACCTCTTATAAAAATTTTGTTGATGATACTGTTAGTCTCGATTCAAGACACTGTGATGATGATTTTATTCCTTAAGATCAAGTTGTTTACGAAAGCAAAATTAATGAAAATGATAATGACAAGCTCAAAAAGCACTAAGGATTGTTTCGTTTAGAAGGTTTTATAAAAATTAAATTAATAATTTTAAATCAATTAGTTATCACCGTACAATTAATTACTTTCAAAAAGATATTTTTTTCGAAGAGAAAACGAAACAAACAATTATCATGATTTATTAATTTTTATTTAGATTTAGCAATACACACGTATATAAGTTCAATTCTACCCGAGTAAGCATTATTTATTTTTTAAGTGAGAATATTGTAAAATTTAAATTAATATTTGTATATAATAATTAGATAATATAATTAAGTTAAGTAGTAAATGTCTTATATAGTCACAAGTTAACTTATTAAATTAGATTTTAATATAATAAATTGTTTTCAAATCTAAATTTAAAAAAATATTAATGTTTCCATGTTATATGTATAAAAAAATTAATATATTAATTTCTAATTTTAATTCATCGTTCATTTACAATTTCTTGCATCATCTGATTGATAAAAAAGTGCTCATTCCCTAACAATTGTAAAATGAGAATATTGATACCGATTGTTATTATTATTGTTAATTATAATTTGTTTAATGATATTAGTGACACATTAAGTTAATCTATAATTGATATAATTCTATGATTGATATTATAAATAAAACAATATCAAAATATTCGATTATTCGAAGACATCTGCAGTTGAAATGATATAATTTATCACAAAAAGCCATTTTTTATGATAAAGACAGTAGAAACTACTTTTGCACTACTTATTATTCGGTACGTCACATATATGTAATACCCAATTAGTATCAGTTATTTAAATTATAAGAGCAATTAAATTAACTTCCTACTAAAGTTGTAATAATATTGAAAAATTAGTTGAGGAATTGTGGATATGTTTGATAACATGTGATCGTCCGGTGATAAATTCTTATCGCAAGAAAAGCAGAATCGCACAATAATCACGAGAGTAGAATGGTTTCTTATCTACCGCTGTCGTAAACATGTATGTAGTTAGAAACTTGAAGAAACCGCAGTGATACTCTTGCGGTTTTTTATTTTTTCCGATTTACACATAACACATTCAAATCACGTAACGTATAAAAAGGTAATAGCGTTAGTAAAAGGCAGAGTACATTAAATTCTCGCTGCTCGAAACACACAATAACAAATCACCAATTTTAAACGTTAAGTTTTAAATTGTCTTTATATCATAAAGTCTTTATATCAACAAAAAAAAAACACTTTAATATTCGCAATCTGTTTTCTTGTGAATAAATATTTCCTCTGGCATATATATGACACATTATTACACACCAAGTTAATTGTTTGCTCATTAGAAATGTGCATTGCGTAATCGACGAACCATCCAGTGGAACCAGAGATGTCAAACGAAAATCATCGTTATATTTTTCGATATAACAGCGTAACATCTTGAAACAGTTAAAGGTAAATTAAATCTTTTATTTCAAAATTTTGATGAAAATACGACTTAAATGATTCTATGAAAATAAATTTCAAAAACATTCAAACATTTCAAAAAGAACTTTTACTTGACAATGTGAAAGAAGTGTTAACCTCTTCAGTACTATCATCGACTTTAGTCGACAGCCACCAAATGCTTACGCATGGCGTCGACTTCAGTCGATGCTTATAAGTTATTATTAAATTTTATTTAAATGTTTTTCGGTTAATTTTTCTATTTATTAAAGATAAATAAAAGTTTTTACACAGATCAACAACTTTATCACAGTACTTTATCACACGTGTTACATGTGTCACATACACATTTATATAAATCACACGGACAATCACTGATCACTGTTCTATACATACTCATCAGATCACGTGGTATACTCACAGTGGGTGCAGTGCGATCCACTAGAGTCACTAGGCACTTCAAACGTTTAAAGCCCCTTGCACAATAGGCGATAGAGCGATAGCGACAGCGACAAAGTTGCCGACAAAGGTATATAATGGCAACCTTGTCGCTGTCACTATCGCTATCGTTATCGCCTATTGTGCAAGAGGCTTTAGAGCATCATTTTGTCCTTGTTTAACATTTGATAAACAACAAGGATGAAATGTTTCCAATTTCCAAGAGCGTTTGGAGCGCCAAGTGGATCGCACACCCGCAGTGACTCACAGGCAGTGCGCGTATATGGTATATGTGACACATGCAATGGTGGCTCTGCAGTTTACTTCTGTCTCATCCTATTACATGCAAGATAATCATAATGAGCAATCTAAATAGTATATGGAAATATGTGTGTGTATTGTACGAAGATATCCATTGACTCCCAGGAGACTCATGAGAATAAAATATATATATAAACGACGTACAGAGATGGCGAATCAAGAAGGAAAAATCAAGGTATGCGTGATCGGTGCTGGCGCGGCCGGTTTATGTGCAGTCAGACATTTGGCGGCAAATACGACATTCGAAGTAACTGCTTACGAGCAGACAAACGATATAGGAGGTACATGGATTTATAAGGAGCAAGTTGGCCTCGATGATAATGGCTTACCGATACATTCCAGCATGTATCAGAATCTAAGGTTTGTTATTGCTTGCTTCTATTATAATATATGTATATCTCTAAACATATTGTATGTAAAATGCAATTAAGTTAGAGTGAAACAAGTATATTTTGTTTTACTTTAACTTATTGCACGAATTTGCACCAGTTCAGGAATTTCTTCGAAAAAGAATAGACGTCATGGATGGTATATGCATAAAGCTTCTAGAAAATTCTCACGCATGTCTCAAAGACGTCATAAACACGTTTAAAAGACGTGAAAAGTAGAAATTTTAAATGTCTTTATCTATAAAATGTCTTTATCATTAAAACAAAACGTTTCTGTAATAGTTTTTTAAACGTTATTTTATCGGAAAAGAAACGTTCCATCAAACGTTTTTCGAATAGACATTTTTACTCATGAGAAACGTTTCTAGAAATCGGTTATAAAACGTTTCGGAAAAACACTCATAAAACATTTCTAAAACGTGTATGTGCTACCTGGGATTATTCTATACAAGAAAAATGGTATTTTTACGCGAATATATTATTTATTCAATTAAACATTAAAAAAAATATATATAATTATATCTAATTTGGCGCAATTATATATAAGTTTGTATATAATTTGATGTATCTCAACTCGAAAAAAATTCTAATATAACTGCATAATTTGATATGGAGTTATAAATATTTTGATGTAATTACATATAATTATTTACTCGAAAAAGACTTTTAATATAACTTTACATAATTTGATATGGAGTTATAAATATTTTGATATAATTACATATAATTATTTACTCAAAAAAGAATTGTAATATAATGTTGCATAATTTGATATGGAGTTATAAATATTTTGATATAATTGCATATAAATGAATACATAAATAGATCTTATTATATATGATTACATATAATATGATATAATTAGATAAAATTATATATAAATATTTTTTCCCGGAAACTTTATTATATGTAACTAGAAATTATTCTCATAATTTACTAAATATTTTAATAATATTTAGTAATATAATACCAAGTATAATGTTTCTTGTTCTTCTCTATAGAACGAATTTACCAGCAAAAATTATGAATTTTCCGGATTATATTACAATGGAAGGGCAAGAACCTAGTTGCGTGAGCCATCAAGAAGTTTTAAATTATCTAAAAGATTATGCTCAACATTTTGATGTGCATCGATATATTGAAGTAATTGCACTATATGTATATCTGAATTAAAAACGTTTGAGAAGGTAATATATGTTTATCCAGTAATTAATTTCTATTCTCTAGCTCAATACAAAAGTCGAAAGTGTCCAATTTGTATCATCTGATCACTCCAATCAAGATAAATGGTCCGTGCAAGTGAGAAAATTAAAAACTGAAGAAATGGAATTACGTTATTTTGACGCAATTATGGTTTGCAATGGGTAAAAAAAGCAGCACATGTTGCCTTGGATTAAAGATTAATTATCGAGACTTTACGGTGCTGAATAAATAGTGTTTTAATTTTTTCTAGACATTATTTCGATCCTTATGTACCAACCATAACTGGTATCGAAAGTTTTCCGGGCCTAATATTGCATAGCCATGCATACAGAAAACCAGACGAATTTTCCGGCAAAACTGTATTAGTGTTGGGTGCAGGTTCATCTGGCATCGATATAGGGATCGATTTATCTAATCAAGCGACTCGCGTGTATTTAAGTCACAATCATGATAGGTGAGCGATTAATCCTTTCGTACTTATAAACATTTGCAAAAATAAACTGAGATTTGACCGAATCTTTATAAATACACTACATTAGAAAGAAACATAATTAATTCAAGATTTCCTCTACTTTTCTACTTTAATTATTTGCACTTTACAGATTAACAAGTTCTTTACCATCAAATATGATACAAGTTGCGGGCATTGAGAGCATACACGAGACTACATTCCGTTTGAAGGATGGAACTACTGTCGATGCTATTGACGTTTTTCTTCTTTGTACTGGTTACACGTTCAATTTTCCCTTCTTAGACAAAAACTGTGGTATAAAAGTTGACAGTAATTACGTAACTCCGCTTTACAAACATTTTATCAATATTGAGCATCCTTCAATGTGTATC